AGGCTTTCACATTCACTCATCACTTACTCCTTTACCCAGATCAACTTCCAGTCCTGCAAGTTCCATTCACGGTAATGTATAGTGTAGGTGTACCATTTTTTATCTTTGATACTATATTTTTACTATACTTTTCCTGTGTTTAGATATATAAATACTCACCCAGGGATGGAGAACAGCCTTTTGATTGAATCCAAATTTCACAGAACAAATCCTTTCTGTGAAGTTTGGATTTGGTTGAGGAGCCACACTTGGGGATCTGAAGGGCCACATATGCCCTTGAGGCCGCTGGTTCCCCACAGCTGGAGGTGTATAGTAGGCTACATCATCTAGGTTTGTATAAGTACACTCAATGATGTTCACACAATGATGAAATCACCTAATGATGCATTTCTCAGATTGTATCCCTGTCGTTAAGCGATGCGTGACCATAACAGACCATTCATATAAAAACCAGTATCTAAAAGTGTCCCAACAAATTTAATCATATTATTGAACTTTCAACACATTTCCTGAAAGATAAAGTAGTACAAGTATGTTGCCAAATTTGCTCTATTTAATGGATTGGGTGAAAGATTTTATTGTGGGTTAACAGAGGGCTTACACCTTAGAACAATCCACTAACCCTCCCACCCAAACTTGATTTCTATGGAAAACACAATTTTGGCATTTATTTGGGGATGGTTGTATACCTGGCTGTCCAACTCCAGCAAGAATCATGGTAGTTCATGCCCTAAATGCACAACCATGAAATATATTAAGATATTTAGGAAGAGTCATTTGGAAAGAAGGGAGCATAAAGAGAATCCACAGGTATATTTTTTAACCAGGCCACAGTTTTGGGCATCACCAAGCAGGTTTGATGCAGAAACAGTGGATTTTTGGCTTAAATGGCCAGAGCTGGGTACTTTTAGACAGTATGGGTGGGGTTCTGAAGATTTAGAGCATAAAGTTTAGGAAATATAATCTCTGTTTCCACTTTAAATGCTGATGACACAACAAAGAAGAGACCTGTGACAACATATTTGTAAGAAGAAATAACAAAAGACAAGTAATACTGTAGCTTTTAACTAGACTCTTTTTCTAGCCCAATATTAAAATAAGAAATAGGTGTATTCTGTTTTATACAAATGTACTCCTTAATAGGACAGTATAATTAAAGAAAAAAATCACTTCATGGAAACAGTACTTCCCTGGCCCATCCTGACCTTCTTTGGGCTGTACCCCTCTCTAAAGGGTAAGGAATCTGTTGGACCAATAGGCTATGCCTACCTGCTTACTAAACCATACTTCTACACCATTGTCCAAGTATAGGGACTCAGGGATTCCTTGCCCTAACAGCCTTGATTCTCTTTTTAGAGCCCTGCAAAGGCCTCTTCCCTAAGTATACTGCATCTCCAGTGTGTATACTTCTAGGCCCCAGGGTAGTCAAGAGGGAGCTGTCTGGGTGGGTGGTGTTGACAGACTTTCGATATGTGGGCTGAAGTGTTCACATGCATGTGTGAGCTTGACTGGTACGTGAAGGAGCTAAAGATTAGACGGTAAAAGGACAGGGCATAGTTCAGATCCCTAGACTCTCAATGTTTTGGTATAGAATTCTTAGGAGTCAGGCACTTTAAATTTCAACTTGGCCTTTCAGGTGGTAAGAGTATACTTGTCAAAGTAAAAGGACAGAATGTATTTTGTTTTGCTTAATTTAGAGATAGGGTCTTGCTCTGTTGCCCAGACTGGACTGTAGTGGCCTGATCAAAGCTCATTGTAATCTTGAATTCCTGGGCTGAAGCGATTCTCCTGCCTCAGCCTCCTGAGTAGCTGGGACTACAGGTGTGTGCCATCACACCCAACTAATTTTTTTTTTTTTAATTTTTTGTAGAGATGAGTCTCACTATGTTGCCCAGGCTGGTCTTGAACTCCTGGCCTCAAGCAATCCTCCCTCTTCAGCCTCCCAAAAGTGCTGGGATTACAGGTGTGAGCTGCTGGGCCTGGCTGAATGTATTTTATATAACAAGTTTGTCAGCTTGCTTTATAACATATTTACATCTACACTCTTGTCCCAGGTCCCATAAATGTTGGGAATGGACATGTATGCTAAGAACTGCCATAAAAAATTACACCTTGACAAAAATTTGTAAAAAATTGCATTAGTGAAATTACTGTTCACTAATGCTTTTGAGTTGTTTTTATTAAGAGCTCTTAACTGATAATTTCTTACCTGTTCTTTCACTGGAGTATTAACATTAGATAGGCACTGTTGGCAAACAGCCAAAAAGGATTTCACTGTTTTCCTCAATACCAACAAATCCTCCTGTAAGACATTCAAATTTGCAAGCATGAATTACAATATCCTAGACAACTGATCCAGAGGAAATAATACATGGAAAATAGCCAAACTGATTTATTGTCAAGGAAATTTATAAAACCAAATTTGCTGTTGGGAATCAATTAGTATAGCCATTTCTTCATTATCTGTCCTAACAGAAGGGGCGGCAAAACTGACAATCTCAAACACTCAGTTCTGTTTAGCTATGGAATGCTTAGTATGATTGCTCCCAACAGATTTTCCTTTATAAATATGGTTTACTTAGGCTGACATTGATAAAAATAAATTAAGCAACAAATGTGTCCTGAACTTCTCCCATATATCTCAGCAGTCTACAAAATGTTAGGGGAAGAAAGATAAATTTAAGATAGGGTCCATGCCCTCAAAGAGTTAACATTCTAGCAGACAGACCAATTAGAGCGATTAAATGTTCACATTTATGGTATTAACTCTAATTGTAGTAGACAGAGTTGAGTTAGAAGACCCTTTCTAGGAGGATGGGCTTTAATCTAAGATTGGATGGGTAAACAGGATTTAATTAGATGGCCAAATAATATTCCATATAGAACAACATTTACAAAGTATAAAAGGAAATTTAAATTTATCGAGTACCTACAAGACGTCAGGCACTGGTTTAAGGGCTTACATACAGATTCTAAGAAGTAGTCATTATTAGCAAGAGATTGAAACCAGGACTGTCTGATATCAGAACTCATATTCTTCTCACTGACTAATGAGTAAGATAAATGCAGATATCAGCATTTAAAATAGTAATGGAGAGTAATTATCTGAGCAAAGGCTGATGTAGATAGAAACTACTTTGAAAAGTATTCTATTAAACTAAAGTTCTTTAAGCCACTCTATTTTATACAGATGACAGCACTTAATTCCTTTTTGAGATCTTCATATCTTGTATAATGATACTTCGAAAATTATACACGTTTTCTTTTGCTAACGTAAGTGCAGTATTTGGAAGAAGAAATGAGCTCATTTTGTGCAGAACAGTAAAAATGATATCCTCTTGAGAACCTTTAATGTTTTGCAGATGAACATCTATCCAATAACCAAACCTCAACAGTCCCTGAATTTCTTTAAACATTCACAATGCATTCAGGGAAACAGATGACGCAACAGGCAACTGCAATATAGTGTAAGGAATGTTATGGTGGGAGAGAGCATGGACCCTATGTTGGAAAATCTAACTCAAAGTCAAAAGTAGTCATGGAAGGGTTCCCAAAGCAGATAACATGTAAGCTGAGTCCTGAAGGACAATAATTATCTAGCTATAAAAAAAAAAGGTGTTCCAGATAGGGCTCAGATGTTCAAAAGCTTGGAGGTGCTTTTGAGGAACTGTTAATTTATTATAGCTGAGGCATAAATAGGGGAGAGAGCGACAAGAAAAAGCTAAAGAGGAAAATAGGATCCATTTCCATTTCCATGGAAGACCATTTAAAATGCCATGTTAAATCAGTTGGATATTATCCTGATGGCAATAAGGAACTACTGAAGAAGGATTTTTACCATGGGAGTGCCAACATACTGTGTAAAAGACTCGTACTCTAAACACAATAGAGAATGATGTGAAACAGGCCATTTAAGAGTAGATACAATCTTTTGTTGAGAGTTTATTATGTACCAAATACTGTGTTCTAAGGATCAAAAATTTAAATCTCACAATCACCCCATGAAGTCAGTGGTAATACTCCTATTTTACAGACAAGGAAACTGGTATTCAGAGCATCCACAGATTCTAAGTGACAGAGTAAGGATCCAAACCTAGGGCTGTATGACTTTAAAGTTCATGTTCTGAATCATTATCCTGTATTTTCTAACATATTAACAAAGGCCATAGGAATAATCTAGAATGAGGGCCTGAAAATAAAATGTTAGCAGTAAAGATGTGAACAGATGTAGGATAAATTAAAGCAGTAGAATAGATAGAATTTAGGAAGTAACTGAGGTAGAGGCTGTTGATTACTCCTAAATTTCTAGGTAGTCAGTCACCTCTTAGATGTACTGTAGTACAAGTCACCAAAATAAGAAACAGGAATGAATGCAGTTAGCAGTAGTTCAGTTTTAGAGATGGTGATTTTGAGATCCTTAAAAGATATCCTAGAGATGCCTAGTAGGCAGTTGGATGTATGAGTTCAAAGCCTAGGGAAAGAATCTGAGCAAGAATAAAGATTTGTGAGTCCTCAGCATTTAGATGGCAACAGAGGTGATGAAAAGTGGATGAAACTGCTCAAGGAGAATATGAAGAAAAAGGTGACAAGTATCCTGAGGAACACCAAAATTTAAAAGAGGAATGACAAAGAATAGCTTATGAAGAAATCTAAGAAATGATCTGAGGAGTTGGAATAAAACCAGGAGAACATGGCATCCAGAGGTAAGAAAATACTTAAAATGAATAGAGCAACTAATAATGACAAATGCCACAGAGAGATAAGATAGATACGGATTAGAAAGTGCCCCAGGGATAAAGTAATTATGAAGCTGTGGGTGGCCTTGGTGAGAGCACTTTCAATGAAGTTATGAGTCCTAAAGTTAGACTGTAGTGTGTTGAAAGGAAGATAAGAAGTCAACCCTTTCAAAAAAGTAGAGTCAGAGAAAAATAAAATGACTGCTGGAGAAATCCTTGAGGTTGATGAAGGATTTTTTTTGTTGTTGTTCATCTTTTTAATACAAAAGATTTGAGAATGTTTGCTGAATGACCGAAAGGATAAAAAGCATTCAATGCTATTAACTAGCTATGTGATCTGAGAGAAATTATTTTACATCTCAGGATTAAAGATTCTTAAAATCTATAAACAAGAGGGCTGAACTAGGTATTCTGGGGTTTGTATCATTCTGTGATTCTGCTGAATTAACTCCAGGGAATTCAAATGAGACCAGGTAGTTGCAAATCGGTAAACCTCCTAGTATTCAAAGATGAATGTTTACTGTTCCATCACTAGTATCTAGAATAGTGCCTGGCATATGGCAGGTGTTTAACACATTAACTGCCAAGTGAGTTGTATTTAACTCATGCTAGTTTTGAGCCCGAGGCCTCATGAAGCAAAATCTGGGCCAAACCCTGCAGTTGGTTTGTGAAAATCTTACTTGTTGATGTTTATTGTTGCAATTAATATTGACATTTAATTCTAAAGAAGTGGATTAAATGAATACAAGTCAGTAAATTTCATTTTTCTATTTATGTTTACCTTTAAATTACACTTAAGCCTGACAAGAAAAACATTTTACCCTTATGAATTATTTTTCAAGTTTTCACATTATTTATTTCCAAGTTTTTACTTTTTTATTGAAAAAAACAGAAAACAATAAGAAACAACAAATTTTTCATTGAATTAGAAAGGATCATTCTGTTTTAGAAGTTTTTATTCTATTTTCGTAATAAAACACTGCGGCTCGAAGGAAAAAAAATTTTTTTCCTAGTGTGTCAATGTGTTAATATTTACTGAATGAAGTATCAATATACTTAAAATGGATGATACTACAATCCTAGGGGTAACTGTGTTCATTCCATCAAACAATAAGTAATTATTGAGTTTTTAAAAAGATGATGCAGGGAGGTATTAATGCTCTTTTAGTCCCTTAGATTTCTTGATTACTATGTAAAGAAGTCATCTAGGCAATCAGCTATCTTTGGAGTTGGAGGCAAGAGATTCCTTTAAAGGTCAATCATAAAGCAAATGTGTATTATGTAAAATGATTACTTTCCAATATATTTGAAGGATTGTAAATTTAATATCACAAAGCAATCTAGTGATGCACTTAATTAGTGGTAGTATTTTAAGAAGAAATTGGAAATGTGAAGCAACCAAGGAAATAGAAGTCAAAGCCTTCTTTAGCAATAAAATTTGTCCTATATTTGGATGCAACCTAAATATTATTTGAGTGCCCAAGAAGGTTAATTTAATTGTAACTAGTTACACATTCCCCTGAGAGAACTATAAATTTAGGTAAATGGGCATGGATATTGTATACTTACCAGAGTTAGCTAATCTCATATAGTATATCCTTTTGAACAGTTGGGAACAGAATTTAGGTTCTTGAGGATTTCAGAACTCAGTGTTTTTTATTTATCCCACTTCATGATGTTGGCATTTTACTACATTTCTTTTGATTTATATAGTTGGAATTCTGATTCCCAAGACTGTGATTTTGTTCAAGTTGAGGCAGGCTGCCATTATTGGGTTATTCTATAGTAACTATCTTTAGAAGTTTTCAGGGTGTTAAATCACGATTTTAAAAGAAGTTCAGGATTTGCCTGTTTAAATTCTAGTATTAAGATAACAAGTCTTAGAGTGGGCTTTACTCTTAATGTCCCTTGAAGAACAATAGTAAATGATATTCTAAAGGAAAAGAAAAAATAAGAAAAAAGAAATATAAAAAGATTCTGAACATGGCAAATAACAAGAGCTTGTTCTAAATAGCAAAATAGCACATTTAAGTTTGGACTCCTTTAAAATATAAATCATTGGTTGTTTTTTTAATTTGAAAAAACTCTGCTAACATTTCTCATATTCTGGATATCTTCACCTCTCTCCTGTTATAATTGTAATTCATTATGAAAAAAATTAAACATGCTTAACTTACACTGAATAAATAAGAGCATTTCGTATGTAGTGTTTCATTTTTTTCTGGGCCAGAATGCAATGATAATAAAAGTTAACATTTATTGGCACTTACTATGTGGCAGGCACTAATCTGTATTTCACAGATTAACAGTCCTCATAATTTTGACAAGTATTGATATTATCACCCACATTTTACATATGAAGAAACAGGAACAGAGATGTTAAGTGCCAGGCCCAAAGACACACAGCTAGGAAGTGGCAGAATTAATTATCCAAAGCAGTCTGCCTTCAGACTATGCTCTTAACCATTTTGTTATAATGACTCTTTAATATGTCAAGATTAGTATGTGGGAACTTGCAGAGATAGGCAGCAATATAGAAGTAAGAAATGTGAAACTTGGAATACTA